AGTGAAATTTCCAACATCACTCTGTAATCAGATTCAGATTTCAGATGTAATTTGAAAAACCCACTTGTCTCTCATCTTCCTGATTCTGAATCTAAATAAACTATAAAATCTGCCTCTTCGACCTTGTTTTTGCCAGCTGAACACACAGCATGATTCAGACAAGAAAGATTAAGAAACTTTAGTCTGCACACGATTAAAGACTAAGAAACAAGGTCCCTTTATTCTGATATGATCCATGGTTTCACACCATTGCTTTCTGAAGCTATATAAAGCTTCTGTTCCATCCTATACAGAACCCTTCGCTGCACATTTGTACAGAATTTAAATGAGAAAAATCTTTTTTAATACACTAAAGCACAGACTAAGTAATCTTGTTCCACCTACCTTATTTTGCAGCTYAGTTCTGATCCACTTGTAGATTCAGTATGATGGTGATCAGGGCTAAAGCATATTGCAATAATACATGAAAAATCTGTTATGTGATTCAATTGACTTTAAAATATATGGTGATTAGTCCAGAAGYATTTAGAGAAGGAAAAGCTTGGGGGGCACAAGAGTATGTGTACTTGTAGGAGAAACTAATTTGATTGTGACCAATGCCCATGTCCTTGTTTTTAATMGTTTTGTACCAGTTCAGATTACAGTTCTGGCCTTCTTGTAGGAGGCTGAGTAAGTCCTGTTCATATTCTTGATCTGTGAGAAAGTGCTGGGAAAAAGAAAAAAAGGCTTCAAATAGGAAAACATACACCTGTAGAATGGCAGAAAGCCCTGAATTGGAGGATCTGATGTATCCTTCTGGCTTAGCCATCATACCAGAAGAAGCTGAAATAGAAAGAACACTGACAAAAACATATGCAGCAACAAGCCAAAACTGCATCTAAAATCAATCTGCCCAAYTGGCATCTGGAAAATAAACCAAGTTGCAAAGATATAATTTCACTAATCTTGCAGAGCATTGGTACTGCAGGGATGGCTACTATTTTCAAAGGAGTGACAAGCTGAGAAAGTTTGACAGGTGCTTGCTCTAACATTGACTGTAGTACTTGAAGCACTCCAATGTTTGTGGAGTACTTCAACGTTTGTGGTCTTTTTCCCACCTCACAGAGGTAACTGCTACAGGGAATGCAGTGTTCAACACAGAGCAGAGCAAAACAATTTTAGTGGGTTTTAGGGGCCAAAAGAAAATCCAAGGGAGCAMAGTAAAAATGTTGGTAACTTTAAGATTTGAAAGCATAACTGTAAAAYGTTGTCTTCCAAGACCTCACAACATCTTGTTCTTCCACTGAAGATTAATTTCTGTAACAGCATACTAATCATGCTGTGAGAAACAGAGCTTTCCCACTATTTTAAATAAAAAAGGGAAAAAGAAGGGAAAATAATGTTTAGAGATGCAAGCACACTGAACGTCAATTCAAATGCCTAGCTGCACCTTGCACATGGCTTACCAAAACTTTCTGATTAACTTTATTTCCACATTGATCAGGGAATTGTTTAAACTGCACAACTAACTAGTTAACTATGGATAATTGTCATCTAATTCTGGTATTTGCTTTGAACTGCTGGAGTAGAAATGGAAATGACAGTCTCTTGAATAGCTGGGTTACTCAAATAAATAAATAAACTCATTTCCCAGTTGAACCACTTGGCAGCAAGACCTGACCTGCCACTTATCCCATTTAACGTGAGATATCCACACTGTGTAATAGTTGCAGTCAAGGTCTATCTAAGCAGTCCCTTAGAGCATAATTCATCTAACACATTTTAGATGCATGCTTCATGCTTCCTAATGTACAAAATTGGAGGATGTCAATGTCATCTTGAGTCAGAGGARCCGTAAGTCAGAAAAAGTGTTTATTTTATAATTACATATTTATTTATAGAAAGGCTAGGGTTTGATATTGCTAATCGCATCTCACAGAGGTCCCATCTGATGAAGGCAGAACAGGCAATGCTAGGAACTGAAAGGTTCTGGTGAGCAGGATGGTCCCATCCAAAACAGCCCCACAGTGAGCCATGGACTGCACAGACATGGTAGAGCCCTGCACTCTAATACTGACAGAGAGAGAATGATTTCTGAATCAGGAGTTCAACCCAAAATCAGGGATAACATAATAAGGATGCTAACCCTCTGAAGAAGAGAATGAAGAACTGATTTAGGTATTGCTGAGACAAAAAAAAATATAATTTCCCTGTTTTCTGAAATCAGCAGCTAATTTCAGAAGAARCCACAAGTACACAGAGGCAAGGAAAGCCAGGGAAAGCACAGTCAGGAGGACTCTTCACAGGGAACTGTTCATCACTGAGCCAACAGAAATGTAACACCACTTGGGGTATGGGCACATGCTAATATTCTTTGAGTTCTGCTCAAAGTTCTTGACAGGAAAACAAGTAGGTGGGCYACACTGAAGTTCTAAATCTGAAAGCAGAAACTACGGAGGCCAGAGGGTGGTGGAAGGCCTGACTGGAGGGGCCCCAAGGCCATCAAATTCATGACAGAGATGTCAGAGCTTGATTGAAGGAAGAGGAGGCAAAAGGCAAAGGACACTGAAGCCACTGCACAACTTCTGGGGGAGAAAAAAACCTAATGGGKAGATAATACCAGCATTTTTCAAGCAATTTAAAGTCTTCTCAGTGCCTTGAGAAGCCTCTTAAATTAAAATATCTCCTTTGGGTCCTGGAAAAGCTGCTGTCCATTCAACACAGGCTGTAAGCATGTCAACAGAAGAAAAACGGAGGAGGAGGAAAAGCTCAGAAAACTTCTGGCTTGAATCAAAAAAACATTGCAGAAGTTGACAGTTGTTTGAGAAAACATTGAAAATAGATACTTATATGCCAAGCAATATTTTAAGATAGATATTAATACCTGCAGATGTCTCTTGGAGACACAAGTGGTCAAAGCCACAGGCCAGCAATCTTCTGCATGAGAACAGGCCTCTCAGTATGTAGATTTTATCAACAGCAAGCAGATGGGAAAGAAACCAAAGGTAAATACATAAAATCAGAGACTTCTTAGATTCTTTTTAGGATGCAGTGCATAAATATGAATCCTCAGTTGCTGCTGTCATTGTCCAGTTGCTGGGCACATTGTCATTGTGCCCAGCAAGTAGCACATCATGCAGTATCAGATTTGTGGAGCAGGGGAGCTCTGTGGCACATCATTCTGGTGCTAAACACAGTTCAGAGTTAGGAGCTTGCTGCAGTGCCATGGGGCTCAGTCTTCTGACAGCACACAAAGGATTTCCTTCCCACTGGACACAAAAATGTGCAGTTTAAACCTACTGACATTTTGCCCCATGTGTAGTATCTGAGGTCTCATTTTCTCAAAGGATAAATTTGCCATATGCCAGTGGATGGCCTGCTCTTGGGGCTCCAGCTAATTGCTCAAGAGGGGGAGGAGGGCTCTCTGCAGTACCCCAGGGTACTTCTGATGCTACAGCACAGACATGCACACACAGACAGACCAAGCAAATCCACATGGCACTGCTCAGCTTACAGGTTAGCTGTTCAGATGGTGCCCTCAGTCATATGGTTGACTTGCATCAACCTCTGCAGCAAAATCTGAGGGAAAAAACTGTGACTTCCCACTTCAGCCACGCCATTCCACCCATTTCATGCTACTTCTTTCCTAATGCCAATATTACCGTTTCCAACGTTGTGCAATAAATAGAATCGCCAAAAGAATGATGATAAATCATTTGGAAAAGAAAAACAATGGATCATTTGGTGATATCACTTTAATGTGTCCCACAGGTAGCTTCATGGAAAGATSAGAGAGGTACTCATGGGAAAACAGTACTGGAAACACGGCTGTGTTTAGTGGTGTGGGTGGGAGCCAATGCCCTGGCCAACTATTGCTTCAGTACAGAGAGMTCTGTGGGACATTAGCTTATTCCTGCTAATTAACACACCTGAGCCCAGTTCTGAGAGCAGAAATTAGGGCATCCTAAAAGCACTGAGAGTTAGAAACTCTCAACCTGTCCAATACACAGCATGGAGCGTTTCCACAAGACTTTCAAGTGCCAGCACAYAGGTCCTTTCAATAATCATATTCCATGGGGTCAGTAAAGACAGAAAAGTACTTCAGTACCTCTAGCAAATTATGAAGGGATTTTCAAAYAAAGCACATTCTGAGTGCCTGAAGTCCATTTCAGCAGCTCTTAAATYTTTATCTTATTGAAAGCTGCTGTTTGCTGTGGTATGTACAAAGATTGGACATCACTATACTGGCAGCATTTCAATATATAAAAGCACCACAAAACATGGAATCACAACTCTGTAATCAATTAAACTTCACAGGAAATGCTAATGCTTATTTCTAAAGTAGAAATTAGTGTGGTAGCAACTGCATGTCACTAACCTAGAAGGAACTAAACAGCTCCATTTGTGGCTGCCATTTGTCCTCATACATTGTTAACAGCCWTCTTAGAACACTTGATAAAAATATAAAAGTTCTAATGCAGTCCATTGTACTGTACACTCAACAACCAAACAAATAAAATATGTCCCTAAACATTCTTCAACTACAGGCAGAGCAGTTCCAAAACACTTCTGGATTTTATTTTAACTTAAACTTTCTTACAATGTTTTAAAATAATTTACTTGTGTAAATGAATAAAGACGACATTTGTATATAAAACTGTCTTATAGAAACCAGCGATTCAATTTCTTTTCATTAGTGTTGCACTGAGAGCACACCAAACCAAATTCCCATTCAAAGACAAGCAATCCAGTATCAATTAAATCAGTGGACCTCCTTCACTTACTGTCTTTGCTTATTTAAACAAACCAAGGGTCATGGAATGTAACCTGATGTCCTGTTAAAGGCTTACAAATACAGGCTGAAACAGGCAAATTAACCTTTTAAGGAGAGGGCATGTCTGAAATAAAACAGTGGTTTAGGAAACTATTTTCTGAGATCAAGCTTGAGAAATAGTGCTAAATATTCTACTTAAGTTGAAAAAGTCAAAGTTTCCTCAGTTAAAGCAATGAGCTCTCATCTTTGAGAGCTTTTGCTAATGGGTATGGCAGCTTTACAGAGTGTTGTTTATGAATATAATACATACATAGTGCTGGGTTTAATATTTTATTTGAATGACGTTTAATGTTATGCAAAATAAACTGTTATGTTACATCCACTGTGACATCAACTAAAATGTGAACTAGTTTGCATAGGTCAGTACTTTGGGCAGCATGATGTTGCTCTAGTCCACCAAAGCTTAAATATTCACAGTGTAGAGGAAGAAACAGGAATTAAAGCATTTCTACTAAAATATATTTTAATAGCTGGTGTTAMCTTTCTGCATAACAAAAGCCAAATTAAGATGATACATCATATGATCCAAGAGTAAGTTTATCTGTCCTTTGAAAAACAATTGTTACCTTCATAACTGTTTACCCCCAAATACAGTACATTTTTGCAAAATAACTAAAACTTTACACACTTTAAAGCAAACATAAGCCAAACTGCACAGCGGTTCATTTTTGCTTTTTATATCACACTGCAAAAACCAACAGCTGAGAGATTTTCCACATCATGCTAATCAATGTCAATACAGTCATTGCTGTCTTCCAATGATCTAGCAATTTCTAATAGTAATATTAAATACACAATTGAAATGCTACAGTATAGCTTATTTCCCCCCCTAAAATAATAATAATTAAACAAATGTCAACAACAACTGGATTACAACTGAAGTACAATATGCAAATTCTATTTATCAGACACAAGAAGCATATGAAATTCCTTTGAATATACTGTTGTAGTGCAGGCAGTTTAGGAAATAGAGCTTTCAGGTTTTCTTTCCAAAGGAGAGATGGGGTTCCTATGGCATAAAGCTGGAGAAAATCACTAAAGCATTGCAGAATGGTTTAATCTTCTACAGCTCACTAGTACTTTGCATTTGCCAGCACATCAGTTTAGAGGACTTCTTTCAACAGCATCTTCTGTCTGTTTCAGTATATTATTGAAACATTTACTAACTAAAGCATATTCTGTATTTTAAATGGAGTATTAATCAACTTAATAAAAATCTAAGATTTTATACCCTGTACTACCTTCTGCCAAAGACCTCTGTATTTGTCATTTCTTTTTCATCRTACAAGATGACCTGCAGTCACTGTCCAATAAAAACTAGAATTATTACCTTTCCCAAGTCTTGGAGACCTTCCATATCCCCAAGAAACACTCGGTAGGGACGCATTTGTCAAAACCATAATCCATGGGAGGTGATTCTCCATCAAATCCCAATCTGCTGAAGTAGTTTATTGTATGCCAAATGTAATCAAGAAAACCCTGTTTCATCAAGACTAAATGCTAATGTTCCATAATGAAGAATTACRACCACAGTATCTGTACGTAGCTTTGTTTAAAAAATGAAGATTAGCCAGGCAAGAAAGAGTAATGAAAAGCAAGGCACCCATTTGTTCTTGTATGTATGCATGAATATGCTCTATGTTGTTTTCTACATTTATACTCACGTTAGCAAGAATTACAGCATTCTTTACAGAATTCTTTATTTCTTACATGGGAACATTTGGACTTCCAACCCGAACTTTGGAACGACTTGGGAAATTCAAGTCCTTAAAAGCCCTTTCCTTCCCTCAGAAAAATGTTGACTACAGGAAGAAAGAACAGTGAGGGGAACATGCTGCGCTAAAAATGAATATAAACTTTAAAGGTGACAAGACAGCATGTAAAGTCCTTTCTCCCCTACATCACACTGCATGTAACAGTCTCCAACATATGCTTTAAAAAAAACGTGTGCTGGCACAATTTAGTTTGATTTACTCTCCCTACCTTACAAATTTTAGATCTTATTAAAAAAACATTTTTGTAATTGCATTCTGATTGTTTTGGGCCTTTAATTGCATTGCTTAGAACAAAGCTGCAAAATTACACTAAAGTTTGTTTTATATCAAAAAGCAGGAACCATTCCATATAAACATAAATTTCTAAGCATATATGACATAAAAAGTTGACGGCAAGAAAAAGTAACTTAAATCAGATCTTAATAATTCTGCTGACATACCATTCTCAAGAGAAATACAATTCACATACTGTTTTGTTTTCTTGACCTTTTATTTTTTTTAATTGCTTTGGCTGCTCTGCAAGGCTTATGAATATTCAAAATTCATAAAGGAAATTCTATTCCCATTGTTTAGCATACATAGTTCTCTAATGTCACCAAATGCTCATTTTCTGATTTACGTCTATACATAAAATGTTCAACACTGGAAGCTGTCTCCTCATTTAGGAAGAATAACTGTGTATTTATAGGTGGAGACTGTCTGTTTTACAAGTCACTAAAAATTGCAACTTGATGCAATATAGATATTCTCTATATTTGTTTTTTATTCGTATGTGGTTAACAAATTGACACTTTGTTTTTATTGTTGTCAGCATTACACAGCTAATAGAGAAGCACAGTGACAGCCAATTGTGCCTCAGGCATCATCTGAAAAATTTGCCACCCAGCAGAAGATGGAATTCCTCTACTTGCTGTTGATGATTGGTGGTGAAAATTAACACAGAAGCAAACTGCTTGTTTCAGAGCTTCTAGCTCAGATTACCACATCAGCCTTTAAAAAAGCCATTTGACTTGCTGATGTCAGGTGGATGCCACCAAGAATGCACAAGGGTCTGCTGCAAGACCCTGCAATTCTTATGCAAAACTTGCAAGAATTTTAAATCACAGCTGTCAGCCATATATATTGCATATTTACAGTCATGGAACTCTGCTTCTAAAACTTTTTTTTTTTTTAAGTTAGATGATCCTGGACAGCTTTAGCCTTGAAATTAGGTTGCTGGCAAGAAAGCACAGGCAATTCCACAGTCACAGAAATCTTTTGGGATTTTTTTTTTTTTTAATGCAGTCATTCCATTCTGCTTGGTAGCTGAAATCATCCCTGTGTTAGCAAGGCCTAAAATAAAATTGCATAAGCTTTCCAATTCTTAACTGTATGCAAAAAATAGAACTTGCAGGTATTTGCAYTGACAACTTTTACTTGACATAACAAATCCATACTGCCTTCCTTCTTTATTTTTTAAATAGTTATTGCAGGGTTGCCTACTATGTGAGATGAGAAATATAAAATTGTGTAAAAGCTCTATATTTAATTTGACTTCTAGAAATTTTAGAAATTGAAGAAAGCCAGTGCAGTATTCTGAGGGCTATTCCAAAGTTAACTTCCTTAGCACATGGCTGAACTCCATAAATTATTTTATCAGAAAAATAYTTTCTTCCTTGCACATCTCTGCATTCACATGAGTAAATTCTCACATGAATATTTAACTCTTTTGTCCTTCCTCCCAGAATTTCTCCCTGGGAGGGAATGCAGCACCCTAAGCAAATACAAGTTGCCTGTGACCCAAGCCTGCTGACACAATTCCTCTCCCAGATCCATTGTGTCTCCAGCTGATGATCCCCTCCCCAGCCTCSCAGTCTGAGACCTGGATCTCTCAGYTCTGACCATAGGGGAATAGACAACAAATAGCATGTGAAGGTTTGTCAGCAGAATATTTTTAACGTTTTCTACAGATGGCTAAACTGAAGTATAATGGCATAGAGTATGTTGAACTTCTACTTAGTTAGCTTTTCCATCAGTTATGAGAAAGATTAAGTCAGTGAAAGAAACCATATTTCTCCATCATTAATCATTTGGCAAGCGTACAACCCACTGGTGGATCACCAAGATTTTGGGAGCGAAACTGAAGCGACAGGCCATTGATCTGAAATGCACAAGAACCAGAGCTCTCCTCCACTGCTCCATGGAGGCACAAGAGTTTCTGCAGCAGGGGAGGGACAGCAGCTCAGCAAAGCAGCCACCAAGCGAGTTACCCGTGGTGAGAAGGGGATGTGACCGCAGCTCTGCGTGACCGCGCAGCACCGGGGCCTCGGGGGCGTCTTTATTTACAGCAGCACAGGGGAAGGTAAAGGAGCTAACATGGAGTATTGGTTGTACGTTGCCCTAATGAAAGTTTCTATTTAAATGCTAAGTATTATTAGAAGRAAACAGAAGAGTTGACAGGTTTTGTTTTTTAGATAGTCTCCGCAAGGAACGTTCTGTGGAAAAGATACTGAAGAACCATGAATCCAGACCTGGATCTAATTGATGGAYTGGGATGGAAGCAAAGCTGATAGACGGCTTGGAAAAAAGAAGAAATGGGTAAACCAAGAATAAAAGTGGATATGCAGGAGTCAGGAAATCTTTCCTGTAAAAATAGACTTATTTACTGTAAGGCTGCTGGGCGGTAGGGGGTTTTATTGGTTTGTTTTTTTTTTTTTTACTGGCATATTACTTGTTTTTATTTCAAATGACTGAATTATCTACTCAACATGTAAATTTTTATTAGGAAGCTAAGTGCTTTAACATTAAACATTTCCCTGATAATTTGAAGATGTGTTCAAACTCAGTGTGTTAACCTCCTGTGACTTCAGAGTGCCATAAGAAGTGAATCAATTTTATGGTTATAACATCTTGGAAGTGAAGGGGAAAGGTGTTTCCCCTTTACAGTTAATTGACCAAAATCTTTGTAAGATTGGCAGCACCAGGCTTCCATACATGTTTTTCATTTTGAGAGAGCGCTATTATAAGCAATGCTGTTTTCAAAGCTCTGAGCTTCTTGTGGATTTTTTATTTTTTCTTTAAAGGACTCTAAAATGGATTCTGAGTGAGAATGCAAACTGTTATAGCAGTGATAAAGTAATGATCATGAACTCTTAAAGATTCTTCTGACCTTTTTCTAAAAGTTTAGATTTTAAGTAAATCATAATAAAGCTCAAAGGACTAGAGACAAAAATTAGTTAACAAACTCAATATAATTTGCTGGAAGCATTCCTGTTTTCCCAGTTCTCTGAACAGTACCATACATCCAGCCATCATCRATTGGTTGCACATTGATGATATAATCACCATCCCTGAAGGAAACTTCATCTTCATCTTGAGCGCTGTAGTCATACATAGCTCTGTATGTTCTCTGTTGAARGAAAGAAAACAAGGCTGTAAAGTCTCAAGTCTAAACAGAGAGAGATTCCTTCTCTYTGCACAAAGAAGGAAAGAGAAGGAAAAAAGAATAGAAGGAGCAAAGCAGAGAAAGAAATCACAAGTTACTTGTTGAAAAGRAACAGTAGCCCCTCTACACCATGACAAATATACAATGAAAACAGACCCTTGTTCTGAGYAGCAAAATAATTGTTTTGTTAATCCACATTGTCTTACGGCCTCAAACAAATAGATTTCAATCCATTCACTGCATATTGAAATATTCTAACTGTTGAGCCATTAATTCACTGGTAACAGTTCACTACATCCAGCCATGGATGGCTGTGCTTCTGCTTCCTATTTGCATGATTCACAAATAACTTCWCCCATGCCTTCACTACAAAAAAGAAACATAGTCTTCATCCAGGCTATTAACTTCTCCATCTCACTGAATGCCCTCCATTTCATTAGGATTTTCCCCTGAACTGAGAATTATGAATAAATTACTAACTAAAGGAAAAACATGACAAGATTTCCAGAAGTCTATAAAAATAATTTTTATTAATATTTATATTTTCACATTCAGGCAAACATTCTGTTTAGTGCATAAAGAAAGTGTCATATTAGCTAAGCCAAATTTCTCTACAACCCTGACCACTATAAGACAAGATTTCAACTTTTTTCTCTTCTAAATAGGGTATTTATTTWCACTCATAACCAATAAAATGCTATCATTTACTGGAATTCAGAGTGGATTTTTAAACTCAGGAAGARCAGTCTCCCCTGGTGTCTTAACAGCAGAATAAAACTAGCCCATTTTAAAATTCCCAAGAGTGCTTTCTTTTCCTTACCCTGGCTCTTGACCGAAGTCAAAAGCAGTTTAAGCATCACTGATAATATCCAATTTCCCTTCCAGCAATTTTGCTATGTTACCATATGCCACTGAATTTTTCATGGTACAATGATTTAAAGAGAATAAAAAGGTAAAAACAGTCAGTGTGTGAGCTCATCTCAGTTCTATTGTCTGAGCCTTTTAAAAGACAGCAAACTTCGCAGCTCCAGAAAACAGCTCTGGATTAGTTTGAGTTCATATCCTCTATATGGGGCTTGAGTGTTTTTAATGAGACTGKTTTTTAAAAAGGTAGAAACTGCTCCACATGGAGTGAGCAGCCATTTGTCACGTGTTGGAAATGTGGAATTATTTAATCCAAACACTATAGGGCTTTATAACATCATTACTGTTGCCGTGCTAAAACTACACTTTCAGTCTTGACTCTACCTTTATCATTGATAGAGAAATTCAGCAGGACAGAGAAATCAACTTGTGTTTAAACACTGGAGACGATTGGAGACCATCTTTCCTGACATCTACTCTGAACTGCATTTGATTCTTGYGCTGTATTATTGTTCTCTGTCATGCCTTGTAGTTTTGCTGCCTATATGATGTGACCAAGAGCAGTTTTCAATCAGAGTGATTTGCTTTCTTAGCATTTGCTTAATCTCTTCCAAGCATGCACGGAAGTTGATGAAAAAAAGGATCATTGTTTATGCAGTACAGGACAGCAAATAGATGCTTGGGTTCCATCATTACCAAAAATTCCTTAAAAAATCATGAAGTATACAATTAGCAGTCAAAAAACTCTCTTTCTTTCGGAATCTTATTTTTTTCTAACTATTTCAATGATCTCTCTGCTGAGCCTTGAAACTAACTCCAAAAAAGCAGTGAAAAATATGCTTTTACAACAAACTCAGCAGCACTTATCCCTTTAAACAATTTAGTTCAAAAAAGGGTCCATTTAAGAAAAATGGCAGTAAGTCTATATTTCRTGTAAAGCAGAGAATGGATTTTGCYCAGAGCCATKCTWATAAGTCTCCCTTAAWTGGGAAAAGACTGTGGTGAAGAGACTGGCATTTTATTAAACCAGCAGCTGATTGGAAAAATAGAGGTTTTGCTCACTCAGAAGAATGCTCACTCATGCTCAGAGCACCCTGGAAAGGACAAACCACTGCAGTCCCCTTAAAGGCAGCTTGACTACATCACTGCTGCACAGTTGTGGTGACGAGCCCACAACCTCAAACTTTAACAGAATTTATTAGGAACCTAAATGCTGCTGAGAAACCTAAATTTATGGCCTTAACACCTAATTAGGTGCTAAATGGCTATCAGGAGAAATCTCCATAATAATCCTGTTAGCATTTAATGCCTAATTATCACTGCAGAGTGTAGTCTGGGTTATATAATCGAGAATTACAATGCCTAAAGGACTCAAAGCAGGGATTTTTAAAATGCATTTCAGTGAATTAKTCTCTCTGTCAGTAGTGAGTTTAGTGAGTTCCAAGTGGGTGCAAGAAAAGTTTGGAGTTTTGTAAAACAGTCAAATACTCAATCTCCCACCTCCTCAATGGTCTGGATCACACCTACTGCTTGGCCAGAACAGTGAGTCTCGTCCATACGAAAAACTGAAGTCCAGCTATTCTATTCTCAGCTCCCCAGCCAGATCTGGGCTGGCARGTGTGTGTTYCCACTTCACCAAMCAATTTATAGCTGCTCTATGGATGKSTYTTTGCAAAGWGCAGTAYCTGTTGCAGCATCCTCCACATACAGCAGCCATCAAGCAAAGCCAGCTTGCAGCACAGGTTYTGTTTTCCTAGCACTCTTGGATATCTAACAGTGTGTGAACACCCCATTATTTTCCAAAGACACAAAAAGCCTTCAAGGCTCTCTGTTATAAAACACTTTGTACTTTGAGCAACAATTCAATTCAGCCCATTATTCAGAACTGCCCACAGAAAGTGACCAAAAGTAAAGAAAACAGTGCCATTTATACAGGAAAAAATCTATGCAAAGACTGTGTTAGGATTGTGCCTGATACAAAACACAGATCAAAATTAAATAAACCAGATTTTGAAAATTTAGAAATTAGAACATTCCTGTTTCTCAATATAGGACACTGGTGGACATGATTAAATAATGAATTTACATATTTTGGGGACAGATTAGATGACAGTGCAGCAACTCAGTTGAAAGGAGYAAATTTACTACAGCAGCTAACTCTGCAGTCATCTCCCCCCTGATAAAACCCATGGGATCATRATCACTTTTGCCCTAGAGATGTCCTGGCAAAACTCAGGCACTGATGAATTACTTTGTCACCTTCACTGCTTTTAGTTAAGTCTCAAAAACTGCTCAGGCTTTGAGGTGACTCTACTAGGATGCCTTTCCTTCAGTCTCCTTCCCCTCAAACTTTCTTCTCTCCTTCCCTCTGTCTGTTATTAGCCAGACAACTCTGCATCTCTGCAGTACTGCCCCAAGCCCAGAACTGAACAGGCAGCTGAAAGCAAAGAACCTGAGCCTTGTGTGAGTTTGTCAGATCTCCTGCAGCATGTCCACTGCATTTTAACAGCGCTCAAAGACTACCATCAACCCTCAGTCTGTGCAAACTGTAACATTTAAATACATCCCCAGCCTGAGGTTTCTCCCAAGCACACTTTGAGACCATTCTATTGTCCCAGTAGCTGAGTGTGACATGTCCAGYGCACCGGGATAGGCTGCACAGGCTAATGAAAATATTGTGGTGTTAAGATGGGAAGACAAGGGAGCATGGAAGGTTTCTAACTGCATCTAGGATGCCTCGTTTGGAACAGAATAATCACCCTGGCATGGTAAGATCAAACCCTGTCTTCCTCACCAGACTGCTAAGTTAGCAGCCAGCACCAGGCCAGCAGTCTTTGATTTCCTGTCTCTGGAAATGCTTAAAGTTTATTTTTTACTGGGAAACCCACTCAGTTTTGAACAGCAAAATCAGTTCAAATCATGATGTTAGCTGTTTTTYATTTTATTCCCTGTATAAAGTATTATCACTTATAAGGATGTCAAGTGAAAACAGTTCCACAACAGGGATAAGAAATCTGTTGAAATAAGTATTTTTTTTTTATTATTTTTAAAATCCTTTATTGTCACTCCCTTCCTTTTCTTATTACCTTCTCATTCCCAGTTCTGGAAGAAGAGGAGAATGCTGATCTTCAGTATGATCTAAATGACACTGTTTTAACATCCTACCAAGTAAGTCACTGGGGCACAGAGGTATTAGGGAAATAGCACTGATCTCCCTGCCCACAGAGCTGCAAAGGCTTGTAAGTGCTTTTTGACTTTTGCAGGCATTTCCATTTTCTGTCTGCTGGATTYGAGGGCTGTTTGCTTTGGTCCCCAATGACCAGCAACTCTGCTGGCAAAGCCCAGGCTTCCAGGTCTCCTACTTTTGGATTTTGTCTCTTTTGGAAAGCAGCCAGCTGCCAAAGTGCCTTGTAATATCCTTGGAAATTAATGGTTGATTCCACTATCAGCTGTCTCACAGCTGTCATGCAGGTGTCCAGAGAGTTTCTCAGGTTATTGAYTCACTCAATGATGCAGGTATCTGCATTCCAGACTTTCCAGCAAGTTAGCCCCATCAGCCACAGACAGCTGAGAATCTGGCAAGCCTGAAAGCACTCACACCACACTGAATGTCATGATCTTTATAATATAAAATGCCATGGAGTTTCAGTCTTACAAAAAAAAATACAAGTTTCAGCTAATCTTGAGAACAGGTTCTTTCAGCTTGGCAACGTCTAATTTTGGTTCATAATTAAGTATTTATTCATCTCTTAAAAAGGTGACAGAGGTAGTAAATACACATATCTTCAAAACAGTTTAAAATGCAAAATTACAATATTTTTAAGGTAGAAAGTAGCTGTATCTGAACTATGAAATCTCCAGGCAGCAATATGATTTCAAAAATATGATAACCATTAAAACTGACATTTTTATATAGAAAGATAAAAAAGAAAAAAAGAAGCTCAATTTCCTAAAATCCCAGCTGAATACCATTCAGCTCTCCTTCCATGACCAGTTACATTTCAAATGAAATATTCATTTCAGTTTTACATTCCTATCCACCACAATTAAGAACTTCACAGCATGGCCATGGTTTTCAATAAAGTTTCTTCTCAGTTGCCCAGCAAGGTAACTCAATTTGGATCACACACGAGTCAGTGCACAACTGTTGTGTGGAATCAGAAAGGGYACAGCAATCTGGAGTCTGAGCAAGCTCTGTACCCACAGAAGTAATACAGGAAGGCACAAAGGCTTCTGGCACAAAATCAGCAAGTCAAAAATATTGAAACTAATTTGAACCAACAGGGTGATCTTAAGAGAGCAATGGTTTTCATCCAGTGCTAGAAGCGTGGATTCATCACAGAGTTTAACATCAAAGTTCAGCCTGTGAAACACTGTCCAAGCATCTATGTGTTTTAAGTAGGTAAAGGATTCAGTTGTTTCTCTGCTTTCTGGATATAATCATTTTTTTCAAAGTTCTTACCACTGCCCACAGTCACTTAAATCTTTTCTATACATGAGGACTACCAGCTTCATTTACGATGAAGAGAGCCAAATAGGTCAACTACAGAACTCAAGGGGTTCAATTCAGTCATRGTTAAGAGATTTCCTGATAGCTGACGCTGGTGCTTACCAAATAAAATTCTCCCTTCAATTCAATACTCACCAGACTTGTTGAATGGGGCTGTGAATGCATGGACCTCATGGATGACATACTGGTCTGGTGCATGTATCCATATCCTTGAGTCTGGGTTTGCTGATATGCCCCAGGGAGAACAGGGGCTGCATTAAAGAAATACAAACACATTAATTAATAATTTAAAACAGACTCTATCTAGCATTTTGTAGAAACTGTAGAATATTTGCACCGTTWATAAAAATTCCTTCATACAAAACAGTTCAGAATTATTTCCATAAAGAATGTAAGGCTTTTCAAAGGTTGATTCACACACAAATGTGGCCAAAGCTACAGCAATATATCCATAAACACTTTCATGGTTAGTTGGAAGGAAAAGTTTAATGTACGATTAGTAGTTTAAACATAAAAAGGTTTATGAAAGCTTAAGATATCACTGACTCAATTTTGGTACTGACACAGATGAAGCACTAAATATATGTCCCATAAGCTGCCATCTTTAAGCAATGATTGATGAAAAAAAAGGCTAATAGAATTTTGAAATGGTTCACTAAAAATCACTGAAATTAAATCTTAAGTTATTGCAAACCAATTCGTATTTATTGGGCTATGAACAAAGAAGAATTGTGATTCACAGGAAGAGGCAGAAATGTMAAAAGGTGAGCCCACAGTTGAGTTTATTATTTTATTGTGATTCCATCAACATTCTTAGTCAAACACAGAGAGATCAATGCTYACTTATGTATTTCAAAGTCCATCTTTTCTTCCTCTTACCACGCAATTGTTCCRTCTCTTTAGTACATATTTTATTCACATTTTAACAWTTCTGTATGCTAATCATTTATATATTCACTTCTATTGTACCAAGAGCTGTTGAAAGCATCAGGACAACCAACAGGGATCCCTAACTCAATTACTGACTAGAAAAGCATTCATAAACTTCSCACATGTACCCAAACATCTTACATTGGCAACAACATGACTACYTTCCTAGGAAGGATAAAAAGTATTTTAAAAGCAAAATTAAAAATRCTGAAGTGGTTTTCAAAAYAAAAATATTAAAGTTTAGTCATCACATATTTGTGCAKGCTTTACAAGACTCATGCACWCTGAGAATAAAGATTTCTGGCTTGTGTGGAGTTTATGAGTCTATCTTCTCTGTTATTTGCCAGAATCATACTATTTTAACTGGAAATTCATTTAGCTACACCGAAAACCAGATGTATTCTTGCTGGTACTTTTCAAGTGATCCATTTAACTGATATGCTATCAAATTCCTCTGCCAAAGTCTGTCTTTTGGTTAAATGAGATGAGTTTATGCAGCACATCATTCAAAAATCCTCAAACATGGAGCCTTTCAGCAGTCCAATACTTTTTGGGATAGATCCCTTAGGCTTGTTGAGAAGTAAGAACTTCTGCAGCAGCCATCACACACAGATTAATGGGGTTCACATGTGGAAGGCTCCAGGACTTGTAAAATGAAAAAATACATGCAAAATCAGGACACCCCATCAAAAATATATATTTATGATAACTATTCATATTTGCATTAGTAATACTCCATACTTCTCTGCTTCTTGAGTTGTCAGGAGAAGAAATGCATGTGAAAAAAGGGATTACTGAGAAAAGCTTTGCTGAATTATTTCAGAAAGTCAACTGTGTGCTTTTAGCAAGTTGTTTAAACAATCCTGCTTCMCCAGCTGAAAATAACATTGATTTCAACAAAGGTTCTTCTTAAAACTTTCATTTTGTTTTTGTTAGCATATTCAAATGCATTAAGTGTGTAAGTCAGATGCTACTCCTTGCCTACTATAGTTGGAAAAATAGGTAACACCATATATTTAACCAGGGTTTTCCTGGTTTGGAAAACATGCCTCAAACTATTGTAATGAATAGATTGTTTTGTTAAGTGAGTGAAATTGAAGTGATATGCAGTCAGAGGCAACACTGGAATACAATGAATAATGGATGTTTTAGAAGGGCCAAGTTCATTCTAATGACATATAAGTAGAAAGACATTTTGAAGCAGTTCAATCATCAGTGAATTGCTGCTCATTAACATGTTCACAGGATTATCATGCATTAAGTGAATAGTCCTAAGCAGTTCATCAAATAATTTATGTTTCAATGTTGTTACAAGCTATTTCCACATGAGCAGATGTAGTCCTTCATGAGAATACAGAGAAAAACATAATTTAATCAAAGGCTCTGTGATCAAGCTGGAATTAACTCATTTTGCCTAATTCACCACCAGCATAAATTCAGGCTGGTTCATCGAAGCCAATGCAGTCTCATCTCCTCATACCAGCAGCAAATTACACCTGTGGCTTGAAAACTAAGCACAGGTTGAATTTTTTAACTGAGAAGGAAGAGTATCTTCAGCCAACACTGAAAGAGAATCCTCAGCCAGCACCCAGCCTGCCCTGCAGCAACCAAGGGCTGGTAGCTCTTCCCTGGTCCCTCCCAGGGTCAGACACGCTGAGAGTCCTTTTCTTCTTCCCAAGAGAAGCAAAGAGGCTGGTAAGAGCCTTTTATTCTTGATTCCTTCTCCCCAAAGCTGACCTTTTTCATTTCCTATCAATCATCCCTTGTCAGTGTAAGGCAACAAGCCTGCTGATGGTCAGCTTCATTATAACCTCCAAGCTGACTGGCACATTTTGGGGAGGATAACCCACAGCTCCTGCCTCTGATGAGTGACAGCAGCAGGTCTGAGATGGGCTTTTCTCTTTAGCAATCAGTCGCCCCCAAGCTGAGAGAATTCTGTCAAACTGCCTCAACAAAGCTGTTTGCTACTTCACCTGCAATGATGGAAAACATAAATCCAAGAAAATAAAGAAGTTGTTCCAAAGCATGAGAAATTTTGGGAAATGATAGAAGCTGAAGTACTAGAAAAAGGTTTTATAGAAACAAAAGGAAGGATTAGCTTTGCTAATTATCTTCTAGTCGTTTCTTAAGTATCATATATGTGAGCATATATAGCAGCACATACTAGAGTTGAAGACACTTGATGGAATAATTCCATGTGGTTTTGTCCATTAAAAAATGCTATAGTATTCTGCAAAAATCTTAAAAAACAATTTTTTTAACAATTTTCTACAGAAAATATGGAAGAACCTTCCAGATGCTTGTGATTTGGAAGACAATTTGGGAATCACATAAATAAACTGAATAGTGAAGGGACAACGTCTGAGCTGTGTTTCTGGTGATGTGCCGATAACTCAAGGTGAGATTAAATGATTCAGAGTTTGACTTTTTTTCATCATCATCACACATAGTTAACCACAATCTTTTGGCTCAGTCAGAAGTATAAAGTTCTATAACATCATTGAATGCAGCAGCACAAAAGCAATGGTTTTAGCTAACCTAAGGGAACAATAAAATACAGTGGTGGAACACGAAATTCATTTAACTGAAGCCAGATTTATTGGTGATGGAGCTGAGGGCTGACCATTGCTCCCAGAAGTACAGGTGGATGKTTTTTTGTTGCATTAAGACTTTACCAGATGCATTCTGATTTATCAAAACTTACTCTCTTCTTTTTTTTTTTCTTGTCCCACTTACCAAGCAAGCCAGATATTCATTTTAAATAACCTACTTTGAAGAAATTTATCATATATCTCTTACTATATCTTTACAGGCTTCCCCAGAGAAAAAAGCAAGAAAAATGAATGAACATGATATAAGACAAACAGAGAAGAAGCCTCAAGAAAAAGGAGCTGCTGAAAGAATGATAGCAAGCATTAACTCGCTGCAGACAATGGGGTCTGCAGTGTGTGTACTGGKCAGGATATGCTTTGAGAAGAGCTGGGAAAGAAAAAGGTCAAATTGTGGAAACAGGAAAGGAATCAAGAGAGCGTTGCATAACTACAAGGTTAAAAAACATGTTATGCTAAATAGAAAAATCAGTTAAAGGTTAGGTTCCAAAATACRTTTTATCAATACCATAATTAAACTCTCTCATTCTTTTGTACGGCAGAACCTTGACAATCCATGGTAAAACAATATATCCTCAGTGGTAACTACTGCATTTTTGCCATTTTCTGCAATACATGGTGAACCACGTGTAAAATAACAACAACTTCATTTCCTCTCACACATATCATACTTATTTAAGGATTTAACAGGGGCCTTCCCATTCTAATGATACCTCAATTCATTGTTTCACTCCTAAGACTTCAGAGAACTCACAAAGAATATTGCAAYGTTTTGTAGTCATAACATGAGGGAACACAAATAAAAAATAAAGATTAGCATTACTATGTGCTCAATTCTAGTGTCTGCAACACAMAAGGTAGAAAGCTGTAGGTTTTCTGAGCAGCACAAAAGAGCCAGAATACAGAATCATCATAAATCTCTGTGTTACTGCCATTACAATGAGCTCACCCAAAATAGATCAAGCTGCTTATGGGAATTGTACTGCTCCACATATATGGAGGTCCCTCCCCTTTTTTTCCTKGCTGCTGCCATATTTTCCACAGTTTGCAACCTGTGGTGCAGACCTCACAGACTTTCTTTAGAAAGCCTTCCCCACAGTTTCTGTTTTCTTCTTTCCTTTGCCCTTCCTTAGGAATCCTCAGCTACGTCCCAGGCAATACAAAACAAAGTGATGCAATCACATGTGGGGACACAYAGAGGATTCTACAGGACACTTCTGGGGGCTCAGGTACATCCCCTGYGCTGCCCATGTGGACAGGTCACTGTGCCTCAACTGTACCCTTGACCACTTCCCAGTGCAATACATGGCTAAGGAAATACACCTTTAGGAAATACAGGAAATAGAACAAAAACATTGAAAGAGGTTACTTTGATTACAAACTCTGGCTCGATAATTTAATTTTTTGTTTTCTATCAAATTCCCCCGATGCTGGCTGCTGCACACCATCATTCAAATATTTAAAGTGTTTCTTTTTTTTTTTTTTTTTTTTTTTTTTTTTTTTTTGGTCGAAGAAGCATCTAGGAATAATATAATCCCTCCTCATTTAAAATCAGGGTCAAATTTGCAGTTAGGATGGGTTTCTTCCAGCCTTGTCTGTCAATTTTTATTTTGGGATGCAGGTTTTACTACACCTCTTTGAGCAACCACAAACCCTCCAATTTCTCCTCTTTAATTCCCCCACTCTGTATATTCCTGTGCAAGCTCTTGAGA